CCGTCTCTGCCTTGGAATGTCCTTTTGCTTGAAAAATTTTCACTCGTCTGTAAATATTCAATTTGTATGTCTTTACTATATGAAATCTTTCCTAATTATCCCAGAAAGAGTCTCTATACTCTCAATGCATTATTTGTTAACATGTGTCTTCATATGGTATTTTGACAGAAAAAGAAACAAGTATTTCCGTCTTTGTACTCAGCTCTTAGTCACGGCTTCTAAAACCTTTGTAATTTCCTAAGTGATAAAGGTGTTAGCAGTAGTCTTTGTTCTACTATTCAGTCTTTGACCCTGAATTCTGAAACAGAGCTCCAAAAACCCTTGAATGTACCGAGAGTTGACAAATACAGGGTTCCTAAACCCCTTGGAATTCCTTGGGACATTAGAGCATCTTATGTGGTACTAAAGCAACTCTTGTTGGGTTTCTGGATGAGGAACCAAAAAGATCAAGCATGATGAAAAGCTTGGAATTTTCAGCCCCTAACCCCTCTCCTCTAGGGAGGGGAAAAGGGATAGAGATTGAGTTAACAATCAATTATCCCTACATAATGAAGCCTACACAAAATCCCTAAAGGGGGTGTTCTGAGAGTTTCTGGTTGCTGAACACATCAAGGTGCCAGGAGGGTAGCACACCCAGAAAAGGTATGGAAGTCATGCATGTCTTCCCACATATCTCACCCTATACATCTCTTCCATCTAGTTGTTCCTTTGATAGTAAGCCCATAATCTAGTTAGTAAACTCATTTTTGTAAGCTGTTCTAGTAAATTATTAAATGCGAAGAGGAGCTCACAAGAACCTTCAATTTATCACTGGGCAGTCAGAAGCACAGGTGACAAATTAAGGGGCATTCTTTAGGGACTAAGTCCTTAATTTGTGGGATATCATGCTAACTCCAGGCAGACAGTGCCAGGATTGAACTGAAGGACATCCATTCAGTGTCTGTTAGAAAACTGAACTGAATTTTCTGGGAAAATTCCCCACACATCTGATGTCAGAAATAAAGGATTGAAAATAGTAGTAGAACACAGAGAGAAGAAACAAGAGTTCTTTCCCTATCACTCCCCCTCAACTAGATTTTTAACTCAAACCATGTTTTAACTTCAGTACCTAAAATGTCTTCTAGCCTAAAGTAAGTAGGGTGCTCCATAAATGTTTGCTGCATGAATACATTTTCTCATATGCAATACAGTAACTGGCAGTCAGATTCAACAAGCACAGTTACTATGGCTAAAACAAGTAGCAGTTAAGTACCTTTAAGCTGTAAAGGATAGTAGTCCTGACTTGTATATAATATGTATTTAGCTAGTCAGGTGAACAAGAAAAGTCCTTTTTAACAAGTCTGTTTAAATAGTTTCTGAAGCTCAGTTGAAAATCCAAGAGACTTAAATGTGTTTGTGTGCACAAATGTGTTCTTGCCTCTTCAAATTCTACTCTGGAAGTCAAACAGTCATTGTTACCACAGTAAAATTACCTGACATCAAACACGATTATCAAGGAACCTACCTCTCCAAGAAAGAAGAAAAGATCAAATTTCTAATTCTGGCATTTAAGACATACATAATTAAACCCAATTTATTTTACATGCCACTCTTCTTCATGCATGCTATACTACAGCCAAAATGAACTCTTCCTTGTCTCCAGGGTCTAAACTTACCTCCCTTTATGTCTTAGCTTTTATTTTCTGCTTTCTTGGAAAGTCTCTCCACCCAATTCCACACATTCAAATCCAATCCATCCATCCTTTGCACAGCATTCAAATGCCATCTCCTAACCTTTTCTTTGACTCTTCCATCCTCTCAACTCCCTTAGCACTTTACCTAAACCTGACACCACTTATCACTACATTTCAATAGCATATAATTACATATCTTCCATCTATCTTCTCTCCTCCTATTTAACAATAAGGGTAGGTTCTATATATTATAATTCAACATCCTGGAAGTCCAAAGTGTGTTTCATGGAATTCACAAAATTAACAAGCAGCAGAAAATAAAAGTCTTATCCAAAAAAAAGTTTGGGCAATGAAATCAAAATCTTTAATATTGAAATTTAAATTTCTCTAATGAAACAAAGTACCCCCATTCCAAAACTTATTTGGCCTGTTAATCAATTTTTTTTTGCCATTTCATACAATTAATATTTCTATGGCATGCCCTCTGAGACCTGCAACCTCTTTAATCTTGGCACCTTATCTTGAATTTAATACTCAACAAATATTTGCCAAATAAATAGGTAACTGATCCAAACTAACAAAGACATTTCTCATAAATGCAGCTTGCCCAGAAAGAAAGACTCTACAAGAATCAAAAGAAAAGAATAGCAAGTGAAAAAGGAGCACAAAGTTCTTAGCAGTACAATGAGAGAGAATTACTTGCAACAACAGAGAAAGAACTTACTACCCAGTCACTTCTAAGTAGAGGTCATAATTACTCCAAATCAAATAGGAATTCCTGCTGAGAATATCCATCCAGAGGCTGTCATTCACAAACAATTCAGATATCGCCTTTTAGAAAGATTTGTCATTAAGGTGAAACTAAGTAGTATTTTGGTCAATTTCCAGGATATACACTATTAAAGTACCTGGTCATCTATATTTCTAAATCATTTTTGACAGTCAAGGAATTGCTGTAGTTTTATTTTGTGTATGGAGGTATTTATTTTTAAAAAGGATATCACAGGACCAACAGTAAGATTATAAAAGAACTAAAGTTAACACTTAGGAAAGTTCATGGATTCAAAGCTTAATTTTATATTGATTTAACTGCTTTTGCCATGTGGAAAATGAAAGTACAATTCAACTTAGCAGTGCATGAAAACCAGGATGCATAAAAACAAAATATCCTTGACTCCATCCTGACCTCTGTTTCCCATAGTTCTCTAGTTGTGACTAAGAAAGGGGAGCAAGAGAAAATGACACTCCCGGACTTGTCCTACAACCTAGACATATCTTTATGTCAGCAGTCACAGGAAATGGCAGCAAAGACTGGTTGGTTTGTTTGTTTTCCTCCTCCCTCTAAAACAAAGAGATCAACTTTTCACTTAGGGATAAAAACTTATTCAAGAGTAGAGTTCACTGCAGGGCTGAAAAGATAAATACATTTCTTAATCATAACATTTAATTGTAACTATTAATTTACTATGCTTTTAATTTTGATAAAGTAATAAACAATCGGAAAAGGAAAATCGCATGAGTTAACATCCATGAGCACGTTTGAGGGTGCTTTATGAACACTCTGGCCACTGGACTATTCTGCCTCTATTAATACGGGTCAGTAAGTAAATATTACCTACTACCACCTAACTGGAGTTAGAGTGAGGTTAAGAACTAATTTGTTTTAAATACTTACTAAATGGGAAGACCCTTGAAAATAAATTGTATTTCTTTACCACTTCTCCTTCCCACCTGGAGGTGGTGAGATCAGAAATATTTTCAAATAAGTTTTGTGGACTCATGTCAAGCATCTAAAGAAAAAGAGACATAATATGGTCCAAGACACAACTGGGAATGTAAAGCAGGAATCATTAACTCAAAGGTTAATGTTTTATGAACTGTGTGACAAAATAACAGTTTTCTATTAATAGCTAACTAATCATTCAATTCATTAAGTAAATTAAAGACCTCAAACAACTTCATAAAACAGTTTTCTACCTCTATAAGATGTGAAAAATAAAACAAGGAAGTACAGAACTACTTTGTTTCTTGCCCAGGGACACACAGTAAAAAGCTTTTAGCTAAAAGAATGTCTCCCAGCTCTTGTGTCAATCAATAAACAGATGTCCAATTTTGGAATTAGAGAAGTTAATGCAATATATCTCCCAACATTTAAATCTGACATATGCAATTAATATTTCATAAGTCTTTCTTGTAATAATAATCCCTCACTCACAAATTACTACTGTAATTCATTATGTCAATGGCAAGTTATTCCTCTCAACAAAAGCACTATATATCCCAATGCTGCGAGTTCCAAAATATAGCTACACCAACAAATGAAAAGTTCCCAATTGTAATAAAAACTGTGGTATTCAAATTTTAAACCACAAAAACTGCTGATTATTAAGCAGAAAAGAGATCCAAATTTTCACTTACGGTGAAATTACAGTCAATTGACTTCTCGATTATTACTTACACTTTTGTTAATGTGAAACACAAGTATACACAAAAAAGGTCTTCCTTTTTTCACCCCACATCTCTGCTTTCGTTTCTTTCACAAAAGGGGAGTCTTTATATGTTTCATTGTTTGGTGGTCCAATTAGTTTTCCTACTCTATCATGTCAAACATCACAGCTTCTTACGTCGGATTTCACTAAATTAAATTTTAAATTTTGGAGGCTGAGAAGGTTCCAAGAAACACATTGGAATGCTCATTGTCTCGATGCGTAAGGGCTTTTGTTTCTAGCTGGCAAGGAGGGGGTTTAATAACGCGTTTAACATCCCGAAGACCTGAAGAGAGATGTTCGTTTTAATTCTGCCTCCCTTCAGTGGTGCGAATGACTTAGCAGGCCTTTATTGTCCTAAAAAAACACTTCAGCCTTTTTAAATAGAAGGGTAAAGTGGCAGGCAAGCGTGCCACTCCTAGTATGTGCTGAGGAAATAATTACTCATGCACCAGAAGCCCCCAACCGTCCCGACCCCAGGCGGCCCCGTTAGGACACTACGTGTGGGTCCCAGCGACCGACCCGGCTCGCCCGCTCCTCCTTCCGCGCCCCGAGTCAGCCCTTCCCGAATCCATCTACCAGAGCTCCGGGGCGCCCCTCCAGCCCCGCAGGCAAAACCAACCCTCTCCTTTGGAACCCCGGTTCCCTTCGCGGGGCGCCTCCCCACCCACCCCGGCCCCCCGTCTCCCTTCCCCCATGTCACGCTCCGCCCGCGCCGACACGGGAGCCGCACCCCACCCCTTCGCTTTCGCACCTTTCCCCCGAAGCCCGCGGCTCCGCCCGCCCACCTCGCGGCCAGCACCCCGGGCCTGCCACTCCCTGAGGAGACGCGGGGACCCACCTCGAAGAGCTCGGCCGTCGTAGCCATCCCGGCCGGCTGAGAGGCTCGCCTCGCCCTGGATGCCGTCTCCTCTTCACATGCTGCGCCTCAACGGCGCGGCACCCCGGTCCTCGCTCGGCTCGCCAGCCCCGGCTCCAGGCCGCCGCGGGCTCCCCCTCTCCCCACACAGCACAGGCGGGGCGGGAGAGCGGCCATGAAGCGAAGCCGCAGACGCCTGTCAGCTGCCTCCCGGCGCCGCCCGCGCCGCTCCCATTGTCACCGCCTCGACGCCGGAAGTGGAACTGCGCGCGCCTTGGAGGCTGTCGGGAGGGGCCGGCGAGGGAAGCGCGCCCTGGTGAGTCACTGAGAGCGCGCCGCTGGGACGCGTGAGGAAGCGTGGTCCTCGCCGGCCACCGTCCCGGAAGTAGGCGCTAGAGGAAGAAAGTAGTAAGACGTTTGGAGATAAACAAGTTTGTCGAGATGCTGGGTGCGGATTCACAGAAGTTTGGGTCGGATGTGTTAGTAGGAGAAACTCAAAGGTTTTAGTCACCTCTCGTGAAGGAGCTGCTTCTCTGCTGAGCCCGATCTGGCTTTGGTAGGGCAGAGGTGGCAGGATCTGGTTTTGGTAGGATGGGATGAGTGAAGCTCGGGGCTTCTGCTAACAGCCCATTAGAGAAATCAGGTCTGCGCTCTTCCATGGTGGGGACCTGGAGATGAGCTGACGCTTTAGTGGCTAATCATGGCCCAGCGGGCGGTGTGGCTCATAAGCCACGAACCGGGAACTCCACTTTGTGGCACCGTCAGATTCTCCAGGTAAATGTCTGTCTGAATCCTCAGAAATGATGACTCGAAGATGGATGATGGAGCATAGATTTGTGTGGCAATGTGTCCCCGGGCCTTCACCTTGGCAAGTTACTTAACCTCTGCTTCATCTGTTAAACAGAGATTTTAATAGTACTACTACTTAAGTGTTTTGAGAAGTGAGAGTTCACACATGTTAAGTGTTATGTGTCTTCTAACATTAGTTTTACTGTATTTTAGCATGCCTATGTATTTGCTATGTTTAGTATTACTATACTTAGTAATAGTATTGCAATATGTTAAAACTAACTTGACCTGCTTAGGATTGATATCGAATGACGAAAGGAAAGGATGAAAACGCTAACCATGTTTCAGATTTTTCTGCTTTCAGTAATAAAAACATTGGAGGACATTTAATTCATAGAAAGTTCTTGCTTAGTATCAGATGGTTATTTCATCTTGCTACATTTTATTTCTAGAAATTTTCACATAGTTAATTAATTGTTAATGGAAATTAAAAAAATACAAAAATAAGTTCTAGTCACCTTTTCTTACAGGGTGTAAATTGATCTGGTTCCCCTTTTAGAATTTGCCACATTTTATCATAATAGCTGTGTAAAGAACTACACAGTAACTCATTTGTAAAGTGTGGTGGTGTTGAGTAATTTTCTCATTTTATTCTCAGTGCCCATTAACAGTTTTTTCTTGCCTACAATTTCATTCTTCCTTGAGAAAAACTATAAGGAAGGAGCAAGTAACTGAATTGAGATTGAGGCAGATAAGGATGAGTAATTTTAAACGGAAAATGGTTGGCAACGTGGATATGAAAAATTCCCTCCTTGCAACCTAACCAAGTTTTGTTATTGGAAGTATTAGAGTTGACCACCCTCTATAACCCGGTATTAACTGGTTTATGTTTATTGTTGTACCTCAAGTAAGGAGGTTAATAACCTCATTGGTCCATCCAATGGACTTCTCATTTTATTTATATATTCCTTTGAGTATCTTTATTCTTGTCATTCCCCTCTGCCTCACAAGTTACTGGTATAGTTTCTTGCTGCCCTTTTATTTGTGAATTTGTGTGTGCGTTTTTTCAAATTACATAATTCATAATTAGATGTGCTATAGACTTCTCTTTTCTTACATGTTTCAGATTTCTCAGCATTATAAAGAAATACCTATGTTACTTTGTATTCATCTAGAGCTGTGCTGACCAATAGAATTTTCTGCAATGGTGTAAATGGAAAATGTTCTAAATTTATGCTGATATGTAGCTGCTAATCATATGTAGCTATTAAACCTTTGAAATGTGGATATTGTAACTAAGGAACTCAATTTTTAAGTTTAAATAGCCACGTATAGTTAGTGGCTACTATATTGGCCAGTGCACATCTATACCACTGCTTCTTCTTGTTCTGTCGTGGTCACCCCACCTCCACATTTCACCTGTCTCCTTTCTTTTGTGATGATCTCCCAGTTTGCCTCCAACTTAGCCATAAGAACAGTCTTCAGAGAGACCTATAAGACTTATCTATGCTGATTTTGGCTAAATACTGCCAAACAGTTACTCATCAGAATACTTTCACCAGTCTATACTCTCACCATCAGTGAGCAAGCATTCTAACCTCTCCATTCTTTCCTAACATTTATTCTAAGTTTTGTCAGTATTGGCATAAAGGATATCTTAATATCATTTCCATTTCTCTGTGTTAGCCCTTTGGATTTCCTCTTCTGTGCTGTGCATGCACGTGTGTGTGTGTGTGTATGTGTGTGTATAAATATATAGATATATATATATATATAGTATTTCTCTACGTATATTTATGTCTCCTTTGTCTGTTTTTTCTTTGAGAGTTTTTGTTTTTTTCCTGTTAGTATGCAAAATATATTTTGTATTCTTGATACTAGTCTTACATAATTTTTAGCTATTATAGGTATTTTTCTCCTAATTTATCATTGTCAAATAACTTTATGTTGTTTTTGGTTATACAGAAATCTTACTAATTTTATTGCAATCAAAGTAATTAGCATTTGGGGGGATTTGTTGAAACCTTTCCCTACCCTTATTTTCCAAAGATACTTTCCAGTATTACCTTCTCTTATCTTTATCATTTTGTCTGTTATATTTAGGCCTTTAATCCATCTGTAGTCCATCTTTGGATATGAAATAATGGGAATCCCATTTCATTTTTTTCAGTATACTGGAGTCCAGTTTTTTAACATCACCTTCCAAGCAGTATATGTGTATGTGTGTGTGTGGAGATATATATATATATATGTATGTATGTATATTTTTCCCTAATGATTGTTGTGGTGCTGTTGATGATGTTTATTACGCCTCCCAGATAAACATTGGTCTGTCTCAGTTCTATTATTTTGTCCATTCTTGTGCCAATACCATACTATATATCTATGTCTTTGTAGCTTATCTTAATATTTCATAGAGGTTAAATTTTTTGTATTTACAAAATAAGTCTCAAAAATTCATACTTTCCAGAATTTTTTTCCCACTGTATCAGAAGAAAATTTTAGATAGGTTTCTCTATGGACATAGCATGTGGGTTCAAATAATTCTATTATTTATCCTGTACCACTGAACAAGTTAACTTTTGTTACTTTCAATTTTCTGACCTCTTGGGACTGGTATTAGGGCTTAGCAGATATGCACTGACTTGTTATCACACATATGCCAAAGGATAATAACCATCATTTAAGATTTAAAAACGCAATCAATCTTTCTTTGAACTACTTTTTCCCCCACAACAAAATTTTGCTTAGATTGTGATTTAGAGACTTACCATCCAAATAAATAACAGTAGTGTTAGCTCATGTCTGGCTTAGGTTGGTATTGTATAGTTGCAGGGCCACTTAATGTTTGAGTCCTGTTTTTAGAAAGTCCTAGAATAAGTCTGAAATAACAAGTGAGTTATCCAACACTATTTACTGAGCATATATTGAGGCATTGTATGAGGTCCCAGATTAACTTCTTTTCTTAACATTTAATCATAAGCTTTACACTTAAGAAAAACTTTTATTATTCTCTAGATAACTAGATGATAAGAAACTGGACTAAAGTTTAGTCCAAAGTTCTCACCTATTCTTATTCAGAGATTTAGAGAAAGAAGTGGTGTTCACCTGCTGGGCAACTTCTGGACTGCTAGTTCTTCCCCTTTCTCAATCAAGAAAATGGATCAGGGGCCTCCCCTGGTGGCGCAGCGGTTGAGTGCTGGGCCGCAAAGCTGCCCGCAGCCTCTGCAGCGCTGGTTCCACAGACCTCTCCTGCCACACCTACTGCTCCCCTCAGCAGTGTGTTTTGTCAGTCTGCCTGTTCTGTTCCCCGCTCTGTCTCTGGTGAATTCTCTCATCCTCCCGTACTTCTGGCTGTACCCAGTGGTTGTATAAATAAATAAATAAATAAATAAATAAATAAATAAATAAATCTTTAAAAAAAAAAAGAAAGAAAATGGATCAGGATGTAAATGAGTGAGGTTCACTAAATACATGGATGACTTCGAATACATTCTTATATTTCTTCTTAAAAATTAATAACAAGCATTTCTATGTTATTAGTAGTGTTAGTGAGAAAAATTGTTTTGGCCGTATTCCTGATCCTTGATGAGAATTACTGATATATTCTTTAGCCACCCCTTAATTTTACAACTAAGATAATAGACTTAGGGAAGTTAAGTGACTTACACAAAAGTTAATAGCTAATAGAGTACTTTATTCTGGACATTGTAGTAGAGAAAGGAGGAGTAAGAAAAAGGTATATTTTTGTAAACTAAGAAAAAGTGATCTAACATTTCTTTGAATGAGCAGAAGTACCTTCCATTGTTTCTTTCCAAAAGAAGATGAATTGGTTACTTACCATTCAGCTTAAAGCATGCAAACCATAAAAGAATATTCAGATTTTATAGCGATAAGCCATTATTTCTAAAATGGTCCTGTGTATTTTAGGGGGGATAGGAAAGCAATTCAGGGTACCTGTTAATTTGTTGCAGTTGAGTAGAATAGAACATTCCTTTTAAAATTGTATCATTTCAACTTGGGAATCCAAAGTTGTGGACAGATAAACTCTACCAGTTCTTTTGATCCTCCTCTACTAAGATGGAATCAGAAAAAATGTCCTTATAGATGCCTAAAATATTTTCAGCTATTTACTCCTTGGAAATAAAATATTCCCAGCTATTTACTTTCCAAAAGGAAATCTGAGTAGCCAAGAGACTAGAATTTTAAATTAGACTCATGAACTCTACCTATTTGAAAAAGTAAATTGAATTAGATACTTTCAATAAAAAATAATGACACTTTATCATTTGAGATAATATACCAAGTATACTATCGCTAGTTACACTATTAAGAATTTAACATGTGATTTAATTTGGGGGGGTTGTGGCTTTTGTAAGTATGTATATATATTATGTATTTTATTGTTGTAACTGCTGCCTTGTGTTTTGGGTTTTGTTTTTGGATTCTCCCATTTTTATTTTATGTGGAAGAATCATTTATGATGTTTTTGTTTCTATAATGCAGAAGGTACCCAACTGTTGAAAAACGAGCTAAAGTCTTCAATGGAGCAAGCTATATGCCTATACCTGATGATGGTCCCTTTCTTAAAGCACTGCTCTTCGAACTTAGGTTATCGGATAATGCTAAGGACTTTGTGCAGACTCGTGATAGCTGTTCACACATCAACAAAACATCTGTCTATGGACTCCCAATTGGAGGTGAAGAACTCTGGCCAGTTGTCGCTTTTCTGAAGAATGGCATGATATATGCTTGCGTGCCACTCGTTGAACAAGGGTTATCCCCTCGTCCAGCATTAATCAGTATCAGTGGAATTTCACAAGGCTTTGAACTACTTTTTGGGGTGCAGGATTTTCTTTACTCAGGTCAAAAAAGTGACACTGAGCTGAATACAAAATTGAACCAATTGTCTGATTTGCTTCTACAGACTTGTCCATTTGGTACTTTGTTAGATGCCAACTTACAGAATTCATTAGATAGTATTAATTTTGCTTCTGTAATTCAGTCACAAAAGCAACCAGCCTGGAAAACTGGAACATATAAAGGAAAGCCACAAGTTTCTATTTCTATCACTGAAAAGGTAAAATCCATGCAGTATGACAAACAGGATATAGCAGATACATGGCAAGTCGTAGGAGCTGTCACTTGCAAGGTGAGTTTTTTTTCCCAGCCCTTGTTTTATCATGCCACTTAATATCTATGAAGAAAAGTAAAATTTGCTCACTTTGTTTTCATTGTTTTATGACATTCTTGATTTTTATAACATAAGCAGCAATTATGAGATGTGAGATTCAGGTGAAATTTTGTTACCTTTTTGCATTCTTTACTAATTGTATAAGTTATACATTGCAGTGTAATGAATTGCCCCACTACCCCAGCAATAAGCATTTATTATCTTCATAGTTTTTATGGGTCAGATCAGAAGCAGCTTAGCTGGGAGCTTTTAGTGTGGGGGTTCTCGTAAAGTTGCAGTCAAGATTTCAGCTGAGTTTACAGTCACCTGAACCTTTGAGGCTGTGTGGTAAGTCAGTAGCATAGCTAACTTGTTAGAGCTGGCTCTTGGTGGGAAATCTTCCTACAGTTCCATTCTCCATAGAGTTCTCAACAGGCTATTTCAGGATGTTCTCACAACTTGGTAACTGACTTCCTTTAGACCCAGTGACCCAAAAGAGAACTAGACAGCATAGTTGGAAACTTTTTTTACCTAAATTAAGAGGCCACATAGCACCACTGCCACCACTTTTACTCTCATTAGAACAGTTACTAATTCTACCAAAAGTTCCTACTTTTTGCAGAGAACAATGTTAGAATTTGTGAAAATATTTTGAAACCACCGTACCTACTTTCCATTTTCTCTAGAGGAGTGAATTTGACAAATCTCTCACTTAATATCCAAGGTAATTTTGAAGAGCTCTTGTTTTACTTCAATCAATAGGTTAATATTGATAATCTGGTTTAAGGTTAGAAAATAGGAAAAGACAATAGAAATAGAGCAGTGATAGTGTTCAGTAATGATAAGGAATAAAAATCCTCCAAGTGAAATTTGTACTGGTGCATATTAATATTCACAATGTCTTTATTTTTCTAATATTTCCCTCTATTCGTGGTACTTATGAATGTGAACTTTCTGTATGTCAAATATAATGTTGAGTACCTATGTACAAATCTTAGAAATAAAAATCGATTTCAAGGAGAGAGAATAGTTCTAGCAGACAAATTGGGTCTTTCTTTTCAAAATATAAAATAACATAAGAGTTTGTATCTGTTTTAACTTCTATCATAATCAAAAATACTCCAATTATTAATTTTATTAAAAATGTTAAGTGGCTCCAAAATTAAGTCACTGATAAGGTCATTGATAAGTCTTAAAAGTAGTTGAATCCATTTTTCTCTTAAGTTCTGTGAAATAAAAGTAGGAAAAATCACCATTACTCTGTTTTTATTCTGTGTGGCAATAAGAAGAGAATACATTATATATATTTTGTTATTTATTAATATCAGTGTTTAAATATCTCAGTTCATTAATAGACTGACCTTAAATTATTATGGGAGTTTTGGATTGGTTCTTATTGTATGTATTTAAATTATTGTATATTTATAGTACTTAAGGTAAATTTTATGGTGAAGCCTGTTGTATGGAAATAATTATCTTCATAATCCTAATAGAAAACTTCATGATCTGAAATTCAATGGACTCAAGTTATAGTCCTCACACTACCAATTCTGTGTATGTCTTTGAAAAGCTCACATAATTTGTTAAGTCTTTAAGTCATTTTTAAAATCAGATAAGGTCCCTTTTATTTTTATAATTTGTAGCTAAAAGTCTAGATTTTCATATGTCACATTGATTTAAAGTGTAGCACATGGATTTCTTCTAGAATGAATGATACTATCCTATAGTAAATGGCTAGTGATATGGTATTTTAAATGCCTATATAGGATAATTTGTTGGTAGTTTCTATTATGGTTGTGGTTTTATCCCTTTAAGGATGTTAAACTGTTAGAGGCTAATTTAGTAAATGTAAACAATATTTAAAAATTTTAGCAGTACTCGTTCATTTTATTATCTCTGTAGTAAAATATCTATTAAAAAACTAAACTTAAAAAAAAAAAAGTCCTTGCTCATTCACATATAGAGAATGAGGTAGCAGTTGATTAGAGCCAAAACATAAAATACTATTAGAATTCAGAGTACGCTTATTTGACTTTTTTATTTTCAAATGTGATTGGCATTCTTGAAATTGTCACTAGTTACAGGTGACTGTTCATAGTGTCTGCCTATTCTCTAAATGCATATGATGTATGGCAAATAAATCCTTGAATTCACAAATATATCAAACAGTAGATAAAACTTTTAAAAGAGAAATATTTCATATTAGAATTGGAAACAAAGGTAGGGTACATAATTACAAAAAGATACTGTTTTGATGAAAAGTGTGCTACACACTAGAGATACAAAGAAAAATATAACAATTCTTGCTTTCAGAGAACTGAAAATATCAAGAAGGAAACAAAAGGAGCACAGACAATAACCAAAAGGGAAGGGCAATTATTGCATGATGCAGATTGTGCAAATGATAGTGGAACTAGATGCTTGCATTTGAAACTCAACATTATACCTGCTGAGTCCCAGGTCTAACCAAACCTAGCATTCAATAAGTCTTCCATGGCTCGGTTGTCTAGTTTTAATTGGGTAAATGTCAAGTTAGAGTTGAGGTACAAAGGAAATCTGACTATCCATATATACCTAAGTAAGACATATCAGTAGGCTCAGGTCAGAAAAGAACCCAACAAGATCTGTGGGAGTAAGGTTGTTTAGAATAAGAATTATGGCTAACTCGAGGATAAGAGCTGAGTGAGTGAAAATCTTTGATCCTCTAACTACAGCCTTCCAGAAATAGTCATTAATGACTTGAGTCTGGAGAGTGGAAGTATATGGAGAAACCAGAGTTCACAGAGAAAGTTGAGAAACTACCACATCTTACAACATCAAAGAGAAACTCATAGACATGTCTATCAAAATGCTGCATCTGCCCACAACAGCCTTAAAGCAGGAGCTCAGACGATGGTCTTCAAAGCTCTTATAACTGGCTTCTGACCTTCCAAGAATATTGACTTCCCTTCCCCTGCTACCTTCCAAATCTCTTATAAGTTACCATTTGTTGACAAACTGACCCAGACCATCTAAGGAAGAAGATCCTGACTTTCTCTACATAGCAGAGGTAGGCTGTGGAAATGACAGTGTAGATGATAAAGCTTCAGACAAAGCATTAAATGAACTGAGTTTACAAAGTGAAAGATTATAGCTTACAGGACTAGCTAATATAAAAATATAGAGGTATAAGAAATTATGATTTTCCTTTACATTGTGGCCAGTCTTGAGTATACTCTAGTGTCCTCTGCTATTGCAAAAAGAAGGTGTGATGGGACCCTAATGAAACCAATCAAGTCCCCAATACCAACTGCTGTCAGCAATCCAAATGATAATCAAATACAGGCTGATCATGCAGGAGCCTGTGACTCCAGCCCCAAGCTCAATGCCAAAAAAAACCAACTTGGCCTACCAGGAAAGCAGGCATATGGACATAGGTAAACAAAAGGATACTGAGAACACTTGAATGCCCAAGAAGGCTAACCTGGATGAGGATAAGAAGTCTGCACAGGTGGCTCAGAAGATAATGTAGCACAGTCTATACCTGAAAGTGAAGAGAAATGTGTTCAAAAGCAGTCAGATTCTCAGGGAACACACCCACAAGCTGAAGTCAGCTTACGTGAAGCTTCAGGCTGAGACCCAAAGATCTAAGACGAAGGAAGCATGCAAGTGCTGTCAGAAGTGGCTCCATGCCAACGCGATCAAAACTGTCCAAGGAGGATGAGACCAAAAAAAAAAAAGGAAATTGTGATTTGAATAGTGAAATTTAAGAATCTAGTATAATGTTAGTTGCGGGACAAAATGATTAAAGAGGTAGATGGGAGACAAACAATGAAAGGCTTTAAAAGTAATATAAAACCAAGGGTGAACTACTGAAAGGTCTTGAACATGGGTACAATACAATTAGAATTATGTTTAATTAAGAAAGCTCTGGCATGCACAATGGATTGATTAAAGGAAAGCAAATCTAGATACATGTTGAGGGCTAGGACAGATTTTAAGAGCCTGTACCAATGTATTTGTAACAGCAATGGAGAATAGGCAGCAGGTTTAAAAGTTTTTTAAGGGTTTTAGATATAAGTAGAGGGCTCTAGGAAAACATTTCTGGTTTCTGACTTAGGATTCTATAAGCATGATAAGCCAATGTTATCCAATAGAATAAAAAACAAAGTATTTAAGGCCATGGGAAAATAATGTTTTTTGTGAATAAGGTAGGATGCAGCATTATTTCTTTATGCTTGTCATTATGTGTATATATCCTGATTTTATAAAGAAAACATGAAGATATATGAACTGCGAAAAAAAATACGCTGTTTTAAACTGTTAACTGATGGTAGGGGTCATGGAGAAATTTAATTTAGTCTTCTTAAATGTCTTCAGTGATAAGCTTGTGTTTTCACTGTAACTAAAATTTCCATTTTTAAATGAAAAAAGAAATAAAAGCATGATAGAAATCCAGGAGAACATCATCTTGAGAAAAAGGCAAGTTAAGTTGTGGACTATGACTCAGATAAATTTAAAAAAGCTTTACCCAGAAGATGTGTACTTTTAAGATTCTAGTAATATTAATATCTCTTTCTGTTTGTATTGTAGTGTGATTTAGAGGGAATCATGCCAAATGTTACCATCAGCTTGAGTCTCCCCACTAATGGATCTCCACTTCAGGATATTCTAGTTCATCCTTGTGTGACTTCTCTTGACTCTGCCATTCTGACTTCTAGCAGTATTGATGCAATGGATGATTCTGCATTTAGTGGACCTTACAAGTTTCCTTTCACTCCACCTTTGGAGTCATTCAACTTATGCTACTATACTTCCCAGGTAAAACAACCTTAGAAAAGTTGAGATTTTGCTCATCTTATATCTATAAATTCTCTAAGCAAGTTACTCATGCAAAGTTACTTGGTCCAAAATGAGAACTTTTCAATGAGTTATTACCAGACAATAATTGAATGAAAGTGAAGACTCACTTCTTTGAATAGAATGCCTCTTATTTCTGGTGTCTGTGATAGCACTGAATGGTTTTCAAAGTTATGGTAATTATTATTATTTTTTTATCTTCCATAATGATGAGTCCATGGTCATAGGCTAGATCCTGGTATGATTTAGTCATAGTCTGAACCATAAACATAAAATTCTTATAATTTCAGGTAACGTTACAATTATTTAATATTAATAGCATGTATTGCTTATTGAATAACTGCTGTGTGTCATGTATTGTCCTAAGTACCTTATATATATTTTTTCTAATACTTCAAAAAAAAATTTAAGGTTGAGTTAGTCCCATTTTACAAATGAGGAGAATCTCAGAAAAGGTACATGACTTGCACAAGATCATATAACTGATAGTGGATTCTGGATTTCAAACCAAATTTTCCAGATCTAAAACATAATCTTTTCTACTATACCATTAGTCTCTTTTCCTAGTTGTGAATCAGTAGTTTAGAAGAACCTACTCATACAAGCTTAAGTAAACGGAATTTATTCTCAGAATAGAAGAGGCAACCTCATTGCCATTCAAAGATAAGAAGTAGACTCAGACTGGGTCTAGAGTCAGAAAATTAAAATTCAGTAATACACTCTATGCCCAAGATCTACACTGTCTATCTCATCTCTTTTTTTAATAGGTGTTCTCTGCTTGTGCATTACATTACAGCTTAAGACATACAGTGTATAAGGAAAGTGTCTATGTACCTTACATCAAAGGTACCAAAAAGAGTAATTGCCAACCCTAGGCTACAGATTGTTTTCCTCTTCAATCTTGATAACCAATTGAGCTACTTCTGAGCTAGAGGGTGTAGAAATCACAAAATACACACAGAGCAATAAGGATTGTTGACAGGGTAACAGTGATCAATAAGTCTAGTCTACACCTGTGTTGCAGGTTATAGAGAACCTGTAGGGCATAAACCTGGTTGAACAAGAGTATGAAAAAGAATGTATTGCATACCTTTATAAAGCACCTTTCTCATCTCTGGAAACAGAAAGATGGAAGAATTCTGCCCTTAGAACAAAGGAGACCCATCATCTATTACCAAAACAACTAGGAATGATATAGTCCACACAGATAGTGATTTATAATGACATCTGAAATCTATATAATGTTATAAACAATTTTAATTTTTTCAATTAAAAAAAACTTGGAGTAAGCCATTGGTCTTTCAAGGCATATAATCTATATCTCTGCATATTACTACAAGCCTTTTCTCATTTACCATTGATATTTTAGACATGTTATTCTGAGATTATATAAAAATTTGTTTATATAATTTGTTTCCAGGTCCCTGTCCCACCAATTTTGGGTTTTTACCAAATGAAAGAAGAAGACATACAACTAAAATTAACAGTTAATTTAAAACTTCATGAAAGTGTGAAAAATAATTTTGAATTTTGTGAAGCTCAGATACCTTTTTACAATAGGTAAGAATAAAATAATATGATGCCATGATTTCTGCCTTCCATAGTACACTTCCACTGCCATACAGTAAATTGTCCTAATTTCTTACCTTGTTTTTATGTTCTAAAAATTTTATATTATTCAAATGAACCCTGATTCCGTATCAAAGCATTATCATAAAAATAATCTCTACTCTTAAACATGCCTTTATTTTTCTGGTTAAACTTACTAGTATATTATAAATGTAAACCAATGTACTTTCTTCAGGGATAGTTCACCCTGGCTTTATTTACAGCAATTTCTCTGCGTTCTATATATACCTGTCAAGTCCAACTAACAGTACCTGGCTTATGAAGCCATTATGTCATATGATTATCTCTTTATCCATTCTTTTAATTTATACTAGAACATAGTCCTTTTCAACAGACACCTATATGTACAGTAAAATCATGATTTTAATATGTCAATTCATGTGATTGTGTGATACATTCTGTATGATTTTATAGTTGCTGTAAGAATTAATAAAGAAATGTGTATCATTGCCAGAAATGTTCATTGTTTCTGGTGGGTTTTATTTTTTTTGAGATCAAATATTCATTATTTGTTCTACTCTATTATGCAAACTTAAATACAGATCTACTTTTTTGCTATCGTTGTGTTAAGTAGTAATAGCAAGATCTGACGTGGGTTTCCTAAAACTTATATCTGTGATTGTTTTTTGTTTTTGTTTGTTTTTTTAAAGATTTATTTATTTATACAAGCACTGGACACAGTCAGAAGCGCGGGAGGGTAAGAGAATTCACCAGAGCTAGAACAGGGAACAGAACTATCTATGATTGTTTTTACTTTTCTTTTTTTGAAGAGGTCCAATCACACATGTGGAATGCAAAGTTAGTTTTGGCCAGCTTGAAGTATTTCGAGAGAAAAGCTTATTAATCTGGATTATTGGTAAGCTAGGTTTTGTTTATTGATTTTTTTTTCCATTTATTTGTTGTAAAATTTACTTGATGTAGTCGGTTGATGCATTTGTGTCTTTAGGACAGAAATTCCCCAAATCAATGGAAATTAATCTTTCTGGAACTGTAACTTTTGGAGCCAAGAGCCATGAGAAACAGCCATTTGACCAGATTTGCATTGGAGGTACAGCATATTTAAAGGTATATCTATATATGTCTGTGGCTAAGTATATTAAATGCCTTGCTTCATTTCTAAGTTGCATGTATCTTAATTGATCTTTTCATTTTTTCTAGCCATTTTAAGATTATTTTGTTTAGTATTAGTTACTTTTTATTTCACTTAATGCTTAAAAAATATTTAAGTTGAGGGGCCTCCCCAGTGGCACAGCGGTTGAGCGCTGGGTTGCAAAGCTGCCCACAGCCTCTGCAGTGCTGGTTCGATCCCTGGCCTCCAGGTGAGGGTCCCACATGGTGCGCAGACCTCTCCTGCCGCCCGCTGCTCCCCTCAGCAGTGTACTTCATCAGTCTGCCTGCTCTACTCTCCGTTCTGACTCTGGTGAATTCTCTCACCCTCCCGTGCTTCTGACTGTACCCAGTGCTTGTATAAATAAATAAATAAATCTTTAAAAAAAAAATTTAAGTTGAAATAGTTAAGCATAACCTAAATAGCCCCAACTTAACTAGTTTTACCCAGCTCTTAACACATGAGATGTAAAGGTGTTTTATGCCCTATAGAGGTGTTTCAGTAATGCATGTCAGTAATTGATCAGTGCCACTCCCTTTGATGTTTCAAGGAAAGAATGAACACTTCTGACTGAAGTGGTCAAGAAAAGCTTTGCAGCAGAGATGAAGTTTAAATAAAGCTCTTTGAGGTAAACATGAGCATAAAGGCTTGAGGACTAAGATTTGTATAGGTGAAGAAATGACTCAAAAGAATGAAGAAGAATGAACAAGGCACACTAGGAACCAGTGCTAGAAACAGAAAGAATAGTTGAGGGCTGGATTATATAATTTTATTCCTTCACTAGAAAATGTTACACTTTGAGTACTGAGTCATCTTACAAAAAACTACTTGATGAATATTGCTCATGAATGTGGGGAAGGTGAATGGGGGCGGTGGGGAAAGAAGAGACAAAGTAACTACTTTTACTATATTAGTATCCAAATGAAAATTAGTAAGTTAGTAATACTGAACTAGTAAGTTGTCACAGAATGAGAGAGACAGGAGTAAAAGGATGATGCTGCTGTGACATCTGTGATAAAGGTAAAGCCTTGGTCCCTAATTAAATATAACACAAGAAATAGTTTTAAGTCAAGGTAATATTATTTTAAAAATATATGTAACTTAAACCAGATTTAAAACCCCAGAGAACAGAGACCAGGTGAGTCTTTCATTCATCATTTTATCTCCCACATCTAGCTTAGTATCTAGCACATAAATATTTGATGAATGGATGATATATTTAGAAGAAAGTACTGATATGGAGAGAGTTGGGAGGGAGTAGACTTCATATCATATAAATTGCTAGTGAGAGCAATAATGTAACTGTTCAGTGTATAGCTGGAGGCTAAAACTTGATTCTCAAAAGAGAGCTCAACTGTATCTAAGAATTTAGGTGTTATCCATGGAGAAGAAATAGTTAAGGTAGTAGAAATGAATAAAGTTTAAAAAAAAAGATAAAAGAAAGCAGGAAAAAGTTTCAAAAGAGCCAATGAAGGAAATTGAAGGACTTAACAAAAATGTAGCAGGAAAACCTAAATAGAATGGTATCAAATAAATTAAAGAAGAGAAATTGGAACCTGTACATAAAAGGAATTAGGGGAAATAGTAGTGAAGTCAGAAATATGATAGTGATACTCATTTCTTGTTTTAGATTTACCTATGTCTGTAAGCTTTATTTCAAAGAGATTATAAAAATTCCTATTTCCAGATAATTTTCAGAACAAATTGTGGGATTTTACTCCATTGTATGTCTTTCAGAGGTAGGGATTATGACTTCCATTTATTTCCTATCACATAGTCAATTATAATCTCATCAAAAGCCTGAATTACATATTTGTGCTCACTGAATAAATGAAATTATTTTTATAGTATCTATCATATAGAAATCAACCATGTCATAACTTCCACCATCCAGAATTATACTTAATAGTCAAACAAGTCCTTTACTATTAGGGATAATTTGAGTCACAACAGGAAAAAAAAATTGCTGAGGAGATTTGAAAATTACATTCTAAGCATGGGATCAGTTAGTTTGTCAGTCAAAAGGAGAAAGTGAGGAAAAGGGAGAAATTTGTGGTAAAGGGAGATTGAAGAAAACAGTATACAGAGAAGATCGTCTAATCATGATTTTGCAAAATTGAAAGCTTTGCAACAGAGATGAGAGGATAACCTCAGCAAAGGGAGACTGGAGCTTATAAAACATAGGTTATGTCATAGTTCGTGTGAATGCCATTGTGACTCTGAGGCACCCCAGCACTGCACATTTAGAGACAAGGCTCATGGCCCTTAATAACACAGTTTCTGCCCATGACACTACATTATCTATTAAACCCAGGAACTATGGGTTACATTGTAGAACCTTTTTATAGATGAGAGAAGAGGTGATTTCCACAGCTTTGGTCTTTTTTTTTTTTAATTTTTATTTATTTATGCACATAAGAACTGGGGTGTAGGCCAGAGGTGTGGGGGTTAAGAGGATTCACCGGAGACAGAGTAGGGAGCAGAACAAGCGGATCTATTGAAATACACTAATGAGGGGAGCAGCGGGCTAGACCGGAGAGGTCTGCTGTGCCATGTGGGCCTCCTCCCTGGCCGGGGATCGAACTCATGCCACAGTGGCTGGCGATAGCTTGATAGCTCTGACTTTAAAACCCTGTACTACCAGGGAGGCCCCCACAGCTTAGGTTTTTAAAGTTAAATGTCACTGTTCTGGCAAAGCATCGCATTCCCTCCAAACACTAGATAAACTAGTGTTTCTATGTTAGTAAATACAACCTGATGTTTTGCTAGAATGTAGATAATTGTTTTGCTATAGGTAGATATTCCTACAAATAAAAGAATTATGATATGAAGTATATCACATCCAGATAGCCTTAGCAATAAAAGAGAATATAGAGAACAACAGACAACATAGAGGAAGGAGTACCAGCTTTTGTAAATAATCAGTTAGGTCTGAGTTAAATGCCAGCTCTGCTAGATATATGCCGGGATGCTGGTTGCTTTCATTTCTCACTCAGTCCCTTATTTATGAAGTAAGGATACTTTGCAGTATGGACTAGAGTTCGTGTTAGTGAAGTACCTGGTGTGTATTAAGCACTTCGTATTGACACCCTTACAAAGAAACAGCCCTATTGCAAAGAAGGGAAAAACTCTATGTATGTGTACAAATGCATACCCAGACAATGTTTGAATTTAGTATTTATAATTCTTATCTTGTGAACTGTATAAGGTAAGTTCCTAAAATTATATCAAGGGAAAAAGTTTAACTATAATTTTTACCAAGTAATCATCTCAATTTCTCTCCTTTTTCTAGCTTCACTTTAGGATCTTAGATTACACTCTCACTGGGTGTTATGCAGATCAGCATTCGGTTCAAGTTTTTGCATCAGGAAAACCAAAAATAAGTACATGTAAGTTTTAGAGCTTCAAACTAAATTGAAGGTATTAAAATGGTGTTATGAGATTATTACACAAAGTAAAATTAAAATGTAGCAGAAAGAGATCAGAAAATAGTCCCAATTTATAAAAATTCTGGCCTGAACCCATTCTGTGTAACAGGGTGTATACTTGTCTGCCTTCTGTTTATAAAATGATCTGGATGAGCATAAATTGGGATAGAGGTAGGCTTCCTATAAAGCTGTATTTGTTTTGGTCTGGTTATAATATATACTATTGCATTCATAGATTGTTCAGTGGAACTTTAATGATGGACAGACAAGGTCTTGAGTCTGAATCAGAATTTATTAGCTGTGTAACTTTGGGCAACCTAATGTACTACTTGAAGATGTTTTAGTTTTCTCATCTATAAATGGTTCCAGATCCCTGCTTGGGTTTCATCCCCAGTTTGCTATTTACTACTACCTGTGTGACCCTAATCTCTCTGATCCATTAGCATCCTCATCTGTGAAATGGAGAAAATACCACATAAGGTACTATTAGGATTAATGAGTTGTGCCTGGCACTAAATGCTAGCTATTAGTGTTTAAATTAACATTACTATTATTATGAGCTTTATTGAACTATTTGCAGAACTAAGTTGTATAGTGTGAATACAGATTTTATTGTCAAGATGAAGGCAAAATAAAGGTTTTTACAGAGTGGCACAAAGTCATAATCATATTCTGAAACTAATCAAAAGAAAAAATTGGTCATAATTATCCATTTAAAATAACCTCTTTCATTTAGTATATAATGTGTTTAAAAAATGTATATTACTAGAATGTCCCAATCTGTAGTATATGCTCTGAAAATTATTATATGTACAATTAATATGGATAAGATACCTATAATATTATAGACATTATATAAAAAGATAATGTCAGTCTCATAGGTAATCTAAAATATTGAGCTGTTTACCCCCTCACCATACGTTATATTGCCTCTCAATATTAAGTGAATTCAGAACTGTCTAATACAGATCAAATTACATATCTATGGCATAGAATGAAAAAAAGAATAGAAAGCAGCTAGAATGAGGTAGACTTAGCTAAATGCAAACAGAAATCTTTGCCACATATATTAAGGAGAATAAAGCTATTTAGATAAATGTTTCTTAAACTAAGGATTAGTGTCCCCAAAATAGGAAACATAGACTAGACCTCTGTACTTGAAAGTTTCAAAAGAGTTATAGAACCCAGAACTACAGAATTCTAAGAATTACTTGTGAATGGCAATAATAAAATCTATGTAATGTAAAGAGAAGAAACCATGTTTTTTACCTCACTAGGCTTTATCTTACATAATATTTTTGATTGTGTTTTATAGAAATGCTTTCATATAAGAAAGTCTTTATAATGCATTTTTTAAAATGAAGGCATGAAATTATGATGTCAGTTTAACCAAACCAGTGGTTTGGTTTGAATGCAAGTAGACAAGTATTTTATATGGGATAATAAAAGAGGGGATGCCATTTGTCTAAAGCTAATAAAGCAGAAGTTAAATTTGATCAGAACTATAAGAAACTACTAAAGCCACATTTAAAATGTTACTGTAAAGTTAGTTGTTTACTTCAGTCTCTGACTCTTTGAATAGGAAAAAAATAGCAAGATCAGAATCTGGATTATGGAGAAGATCATAAAAGAAACCAATATAAAATTCCCTAATGTCTTTGTAGTTGAAATAATGATCCACAAGAAACAATTTAGGGGACATATGAAGGGAAAAATGGCAGATTTTGCATAAATTATAGTGTGTCATAAATTTGTCATAAATAAACTGAAAGGTAGATTATTCAAATATCTAATGAACCCATGTTTTTTAATGCCTTGATAAAATAGAACTATAATGGATGTTTCATAGTATTACTTTCCTTGAAATATATCCCACAAGTTTAAAAAAGCATGACTTTAGTCTCTTCTTTGAGTTTTTGTAAAATAATTTGTCTTATTTTTTTTTAGACCGGAACCTAATTTCTTCTGACTATTACATCTGGAATTCTAAAGCCCCTGCTCCAGTAACATATGGATCATTATTACTATAATTGTCTCATGTTTAAGTGGGATTTATACAAAGTAACATAGCTTAAAATAAATCAGTCTTTTATTTTTCATATATATGCATACAACCTATCAGTGAAAAATATGATTGAATGATTTAATAATAAAAGGCTCCAATTTCATGTTTTAGTCTGATACAGTTTGAAAGAACATTTTAAAGACTAACGGCTCCAATTTTGTTTTCCTTTTATTTTACTCAAATATATGATTCAGAGCGTGAAACAATGATTCACTGTAGGTTTATTTTAGGCTAGCCCTTGGCCACTCTGCCTTACATGTTCCTTCCCCTGTGGCAGACATGCCTAATCAATCAGAGCCCTCTTTCTCCTCTGAGTCTCCTGGGTAGAGGACTCAGGATCCTCAGTGCAGGCAACAACTATTGATGGATTATAGTTGATATGCAAGATTAAAAAAACTGTTTGCTTTCCCAAACCTCAGTACTAAGCCCCTAGTACAGTGTGTTGTTACAGAATACCATAGACCACATTAGAAACAACTGTAAACTCCTGAGAAAAGAGCCAAGGAAAATATTTTAAATAGTAATCTGTTCTTAATCAGAACTATGCTATTGGCTAATAATACTTCTACTTAAGGTGTTTGTTTTTGTTATAGAATCACTTTTCAGGTAAGCTTATTAATCTGCCACAATAACATTTTGCTTATGATGTTAGTAAGCACATTAAGCAGGATGGGATAACTTCAGAAGATGAACATAGTATTTTGTAATCCCTTAATGTCTGTAGCTAAATTTTTAAGGATAAATTTAGATATATTTCTTTCTTGTTACATTAATACTGATTAATGAATAAATGCAGATAAAAATTAAAAGTCATCCTGTGGATAGAGTATCATTTAATCATATTTCAATCTCATGGTATATTCTAAATTTGGCCCCTTTGCTTTCTTATCTGCATTCTCTGCTTTTTCAAGAACCAGTCGTATATTCTCTACCTGTGTGTTACACTTAATTATTTGTCACATTCTGTTTTCGAAGCAGTTCATTGTCAAGTTTTAGACTTAAAGTGACCATTTAAGAAAAGATGAAACCTCAAGATCTTCAAAACTTAATCTGTGTCACATTTCCTTTTACAGAACAGAATTAGAAGTGTTATTTTAAAAATACAGACTAATATTCAATTAAATTATATCTTGGTTTCTGTTTTTTTATGAGTCTTAAGGAAAAGATTAGAAAAAGCAGCTAACTGGGATATTGCATATAAATTTAGGATTTGAAATACGATTTTTTCAAATAGGGTCTATCTTATTCGTTATAAATACTCATTTTCTGCAAGGCATTATTATAGCATATATTATTATTATAGCATAATGTTCTGTGTTCAAAATTATCCCAAATAGTAAAGAAAGTAGAGTAACTGCCCGACCAGCATTTTAACTTATTACTCTAGCTTAACCATAGATAATCAATAATAAAATCTTTCCTCTTAAAAGCAGAAAAGTCATGCCCATAACCTATTTGATCTAATTTATGTTAGTATTAATGGAGCCATTTTGGACATCTTGATTATAGAAATGTTTAGCAAAGTACACTAAATAGGTAAGTGGCATTTATCTAGTAAGTAGGCAGAGAATCCATATAATACTCCTCTAGGCAAAACCTTCTTTATAAGCAGGCAGAAAACCAGTGAATGATATTTCTAGAAACCGAGGAAAATCTTAGGGAGTATTGGGAAAGTGTAGGGGCAGTGAGGAGGGAACCTGATGCCATCTGTTGCCATTCCATCTAACATAACACTACAACACTAAAACCAACTCATGTTTTCATCCTATTGAGGTCAGCTGGGCACACTGTGATGCTTTTGATTTTGTCTAGAAACCTGTCACTTCAGGATAATTTCTGAAGACAAAGTCTGTTTCCCGTTTGGTAGGTGACCTGTTTAATGTTTTCCCTGTGTCTGGGAACTCCTTAGTGTAATTAGCGACCTTTGAACTCTACAACTAATCCTGAGCTATTTTGTATTCCTTACTCATCTTTAAGGCTGGACCTTTCTTTTCTTCAGAGTCTGCTGCCACAATTAAAGAAGAAACAGCTGCATTTCAAAGGGATTCCGATTCCAGAAGCTTAATCGTGATTGACATGTTCTTATTCTAAGCTATAAGACACTCTAAGAGTCCTTTCTTGGGTTAAAACTTCAATCATTTTCTAAAAAATTATCTCACTATGGATTTTATTCATTTTCTTTGATAACAATTCTTTGCATTTTTTAACTTGAAAGATGCTTTGCATTTGCAGTGAATATGAGCACCTATTTCCAGTTAAAGATTTGGATGGTGTCAGACCTACTCTAGATGCAAAATTGCTAAATTCCTTTTTAGTGCCAAAATATGATTATGAAATATAATGTCTGTCATATGAGTAATTATCTTTAGTAGACCAAAAGGTACAAAAATGTTAAATTTCTAAAAATGTACTCCAGAAAGATAGTTCATAATTTTGATAAAGCCCTTCTTTTCTTTATTTTTTTACCAATACTAGTTTTTAAACTTTAAAGCCAGCAACACCCTTGCAGTGTAAAGTTATGTACCATTATAGTGGTAGACAATTTTTTACTTTTTAAATAGTTGATTCAAACCTCAGACTTGAAATAAATAGCCTCATGAGGCATTCTTAAGAGTAGTTTTGTTGATGGACCAAACGTTAGTTTGTCTCGTAAAACCAAAGTTTTTCACTCCAGCTCATTATTGGAGTTAAAATTATGGTTTTATACATTGTATTTTAAGAACTTTCAAAGCACAATTTCATACATAGAAACACTGCTAGTGTTATCCTTCTAGTTTTTATTATAGTATTTCAAAATACTTTATAGACATTCACAGACTCCTGCACCACCCTGGGAGGTAAGTAGGTCAAGTTATCATCCAGAGCCTATGCAGTGCCCGCTGCCACAGCAGAATGGTTGTTTCTAAGACAAAGGTCAGAAAAGGGATGTTAATAAACAGTCCTCAGGTTTAAGGGACTTTTTTAGGATTACATCTTAAATTCCAACAAATCAGATTTAGGAGTTACTGAAAGTGAAATTGATCCATCCCTCATCCAAACTTTGCAATACTTTCCTGTTCTGACATCATTTAGATAGTTAGCTGTATTATCAGATTAGAAACCATTGTACCAAACTGCTGAAAGGAAAAGGAGGCAAAAAGCTAAACATGGGATGAATTCTGAACCTTTTAACCTGGCTGAAGTACGTTGGTCCCTGTTATGCAAATACCTTCAATCCTCTGCTAAGTTCAGTGGAAATAATTTTCTTGAATGACAGGTTTATTCAGCAAGGATTCAGTTGGTGATTAATCCCCCTTTGATCTAGGGTATTTCACTTAACTACCAGTTACCTCGTTCTGACAAAGTGCAACTGAGATTAGGGAGATCACTAGAACACTACCAGGGTGTGCGTTCATTCTCTATAACCTTTTAAAGCAAGGGCCAAGAATGCAATTTATTTTCAGTATTTGAAGATGTAAAGTCCTGTCTGCTAAGTTAGAAAGTCAATTGAATACCAAATGAAGTTTTTTTCTTACGTAATAGAACAAACATTTCTTTTTGCTTTGCCTAACAATTATTTTAGGAAACATGGGCTTTGAAGGAAGAAGAAACAAAGACTACATTCTAAGTATATCTTCTAGTTTTGTTTCATGTACTAGAATGTGTACTTGTTTGCCCTGAAATAACCTAAAAATCAAAGTATTGGCTACAAATGTCCAGTTTTTCCCTGCCCTCCCCCTATTAAAAAATGTCTTGACATGTGGTAAAGAAATCCAACTGGTGAAAACATGTTGTAATACACAATTATTCATCTTAGGACTTCTGATTTCAAAACTTTGTTAACTTTGTCCTTAGGAAAAGGAACTTATGTCCCCATCATAAGAATAATAGCATTTATTTTCAAAATGAATTTTTTTTTCATAAAAGCAAATGGTTCCATAATAAAAACACTTCAAAATAATTATTTTAAATTATTAAATATTTTTCCTAAAGTGTTGGGTTTTTTTCCTACTTTTTTTCCTTTATTTAACTGGAAATTAATTTTTAAACTTGGAAATACTCATTAAGTTGTGCACAATGTTTTAAGCATAAAGTTTTAAGATGCTTTCATGCTAGTTTTTTTAATTCACTTTTAAAATCTACTGTGTCAACATTTTGTGTAACATCAAATTAAGAGATTTATTCCTCATATTTCAAGACCCTTAAACAATTTGTTGCAAAATGTGTTTTCAAAAATCAAATTATTGATATAAACAAAGTAATGCTTTATAATTGTTATTCTAATAAGCTTGCACCTACAAACTGTACATTTAGATAATTATACATATTTTTGGCACAAGTTTTTGTGACCCAATTTCTAACTGAAACAGTAACTGGAAGGACATAGAATCTAACTTATATTGATGCCAAGCCAGCCTTTAGTTTCAATTTAGTAACCAAACTTGTCCCAAATATCTTTTGCTAGCAAGTTATTTTACCATAGCAGAACTGCGGATCAGAAAAAATAAAAGATGGAAGACAGAATCTCCCATATTGTTAAGAAATTAGTATTTTTAATAATTACCCCATGCATTAGTTACTAAAATGTTACAATATATTTTTAACAGTGCCATTATGAGATACAGAGAAAATATAATTAGATAAAATATAAACATATATGTATTCATGCAACGTCTATAAAGTGTATGTAATATGTTAGTGTGTCTGGGTGGATCTCTCTATGAAATATTTTACTATTAAGTTCAAATAATTAGATATCTTCCCTCCAAACAATACTAGTAATAATGAAGTTTCTTAGAATGAAAATTACCAAAGAAGTCACAAGATTATTCTTACAAAGTGATTAAAACTCTTACAAGCTTTTTAATTAGCTTCTAATTTTTTTCACCAACTGTTTTATGGATATAACATTATTGCCCACATAGAGCTTAGAGCAGTGTAGTGTCATATCTGTATTACTAGTTTACTGCCTTGTAGCAAGGACTCTGCAGTTCACATTGATTCCTCCAAGGCCCTGGCTAATCTGTGTAATTAATGGCAATGTGGTATTAATATGTAATGCATGGCATATACAGATTGAAGGATGACCTGAGATAGAAAACCACCTGCTGAATCGTGTTGCCAGTAGGACATGTGAACACTTGAATATCTTAATAATCCATTAAACATTTAATGTCAAGCTGCATGTTGCCTTTAAATGTTTTTTAAGTGATAGTTTCTATTAAAAAATTGCTAATACACTAGTAAAGATAAAAATGAAAAAAAAAAGATACTACTCTTAAATTTTTTACTTTTTCTTTCAAGGGACTTGAGTGCCCTCTGCAGGTTGTAAGGAGATAATTAGTGATATTTTAAACCCTGTGATTTTTCTCTTTCAGAAGCACGGCCTTCATAAGCATGATCCATTTTATCTAAATTGTTAACAATGTTAATATGCCCATGATTGAAGCAATTGGGCTTTTTTTCCACTGACAGTTTTATACTTTTAGTTAAAGAATGTAATACCATTGAATTTCCCCAGTCATTTAGCTGGGGCTCTTTAAATGTTGAAACTATAGTAACACACCTTCCTTCCCAAAGAGACTGGGGACCATTTAGCTATTTTAAATTTGAAAACTCCCATTATACTCTTACAGTACTATCATTTGAAATGTCTTCCTTGTTCAATATGTATCATGTGAAGTTTTTAAGTTATGTAAGAGTTCTGTTTCTTGATCTTGTTGATGAGTGTTTGTGCTGTGGTTCAAAAAAAACAAGCCTTCTTAAATTTTATTTAGACAAAGTTAGTATTAAACAGATAATGCTTTGGTGGCAGTGTTGCATAGAACTACTAACTAGAAAGGGTATGGAAAAGCAAAGATTCGTATCTGAGTCACTCATTTCAATGTGCTCACATTTTCTCATAGGGTGTAACAGATTTGTTTCTAAACAATGTAACAGTTCATTTTGTATGTGAAACTATAGAACTAAAGCAATGGTGGCACTTCTGAGTCACTGAAAGCGACCAGGGAAACGAACTATGATGAGAACAAGAGGAATGACTGGATCAAATTAATAGAAATAGATCTTTTTGCAAGCAACATAATGATCCTGATCATCAACCTTGAAAAGTAAATTAGAACAAGCAAATTGCTGTTGAAAAATTCTTTCAGCACTCTGCTGTTGCTACTCAGCTAGTCATGGCTCAGCCAGAGGCAAGGGAAAAATGCACTCGGTTTTGCATTAACAAAGGAAACATTATTAAAGTGAATGTTTACATTGTGTTTATTGAAGTGTTCAAAGAATATTTGTTGCATCTTCAAGCAACCTGCTCTTCTCCCAACTGCTACAGTGCATGAGCAATAATAAAAATGAGTCATTTGTACATTTTAGAAATACAAACAAATATTTAACTTAAGTGTTTCTGATCTATCTTCAAAATATTAAGTATCAGACTTAATGCCTTTAAAGATTTTTGTCTCTAGGAAATGTACCCCATATAAAAGACCATTTTATCTGAATACACCTAATTACTTTCAAATGCTTTATGTGACTTCCCTCCCAGAAACAGCAATATGTAAGAAGTAATAAGCAGAAAATTAAAAAATGAATACAATTGTGAAATTACTGAAGTGGGTGTGTAATTGAATATATAATATGTGTGATGGAGAATTAGCTTGATAATTGTAAGAGCTACAATTATCTTGAATTCATAAAAATTAAGAGTAGACAAGACAGTAATTGAAAACAGACATGCCAATCTGACATTTAAGAATGTAGTATTATATATACTTGTAAAATAGGGGGAAAGTTAATAATTAGAAATTCAGAAAGAATTTTAACTCACCTATCTAAAATGAACAATTTAAATCACTTTTCTGTTTTAGAAGAGGTATAGTATTTAAAGCACTATGAAATTAAAGTGCCATATTTTATTTGGCCACGTAGCAGGCATTACTGAATGCCTATCATCTCTTAATGATTCACTAATTTTTCTTGAATTGTTTTTAGATTCACCAACAGTACAAGTTGACA